CGCTTTCCACCCAACCAAGAGAATTACCCCGAAACTCCTACAGCCAACGCCCCTCTCCTCCCCCTCCTCGCTACCAAACCCTCCTCTCTTTTCCCCACTTTCAACACCCAAGCACCCTCCCCCCCCCTCCTACCCACTCAATAACCTCATTCCACATTACATAATGGCCCGCGCTTTATGTTCCTGACTCCAGACATGAGGAGACAAATCCACCCTGGGTACATTGTCCGAGACAGCAATGTCTCTTGCCTGACTGCTTACCACACCTCAGTGGCTCCCCACTCCCCTCACTGCCAGCCAACGCCACTAACGCTGTTGTTAGAATTGAAAACAAAGTATCTAGCAAAATTATGTCCTGTCGTAAATTTGGGGGAAATACTTTTTAAGATGTAACTTCTGTTCTAAATGTCTCATCTAAAAATTCAATATATATATATATGTTATATAGTGAGATTTATTAGTACCAACATAAGATAAGTAAGCATTTTAACTTACACTGAACTAACAAAAACTCGATTTTACACAGGATCGAGTTTAACATGTTTTTTTTTAAATATTCAAACTGCAGCAAACAAAGTAAGAACATTTGTGCATTCAATAAATATTGAGATCATAGCGCCAAACTAAAACAGAAATAAGTTGGCATTCTCACTTAAAAGAAAACGTTCCAAAAGTCGATTTTACCCAGATTCGCGTTTACTGGGTTTTCCATTCAAACAGCAGAACAAGAGCTCTTTTTAAGTGGGGTACACACTTGACTTGTTCTACATGCCGGATTGCGTACTAGATACATAATCGGTCCAGGGAGGGAAGTTACAAAACTTTCTTTTTAAAATTTTCAAAAAACCTTTTTAAAGATTTAAAGCAAGCAAATTCCTGGTTACGAAAAAAAAATTAAAAAGAAGAAGAAATGGAACGAAAAAGGATAGAAACACCTCAGATACAGGATTTAAAAAACCCCAAACAAACCCAACAAACAACTTAAACATGGACAAATAAATGATTGGTCATTATTATGTCGCTCTATAGGTTTATGCACCTTTTAACACTTCGGTTAATTTGATGTGAGCATAAAACGAAAAATAAATTGTAAGACTGGGGAATAAAAAGCTGAAACAACACCCAAAGTAGATCTATAGCCTGGTGCCTCTGCACTAATAGCAGGCCTACAAATGTATAATAATAATAGCAGTGGTAACTTTTGAAATAAAATTATCGTAAGTCTGTTTCACGCCCCTGTCGGCCCAATTGGAACTGGCTTAGAATGCAGACTGCTTTAAAATGTTCTCTCAGGGCCAACCCGATTATTGTAGAAATCCCCCTTTTTTTAGGAACAGAGATCATAATTTTAAAAAGACAAGATTATGCCCATGATTATGATTACAATGACTACAATTCCCATCATTGTCACAATTACATTATCACATAATATGTATGATTATTTCTCTTCTTCTTCTTCTTCTTCTTCTTCTTCTTCTT